ATTATATTGATCTTTCAAAATATTTGAAGAGTATAAAATTATTATTTGTTTAATAAAAAGGAAATTACCGAATTTTTTTGTAAAGAAACTGTCAGTTCTCTTTAGCCGTTGGATTTGCACCGACTCACGACTTCAAAACCAATCCAATCCGTCCGATCTGGTTAGACTACCCAATAAGACTGCGTCTACTTTCCACGAGGCCCACCACGACTTTATATATATTTTAAGGTATGATATCATTTTTTCCTTTTGTTTTTTCTAAACCTCCCGTTAATCACGAATACCGTTTACCACACAGATCAGCCTGTTACCTTTGCACATCAACGGACCCCTAAAACAACTCCACGTCTCATCCTGTCACTAGATTTCCGTAACAGGCAGTCACTCCATCATAACGTTAGTCCAGCTGGAAAATGACGCACAGCCTCATCTTCAAAAACCACGAAACCTCAAGGAAGCGAAGGCACCTTTACAGAACGCGCAGCCTTGAAGACTTCTTCTTGGAAATTTCTCGATCTCTTTAGGTATAAACAAGATTTTCTGTACCTTTCACCTCTGGTTACCGTTGCCGGGCTGCATATTGAGGATTCTTTTTTTTTTTAATTAAATCTTTCTTTGTAGATTTATGTTTCTTCAATTGTGTTGTCCGGTGAAGGTGCTTAGGGTTTAGGTTTTCTTTGTAATTCCTATCAATTTTTTGTCCGATCGGTTGTCTTTTACGGTTAATCAGTCCTCAGATCTAACGTTTTAGGTATGTCTCTTGGGTTATTTGTTGTTCACTTTTCTGTTGTCCATATTTTCTTTTTTTTTTTTTTTTTTTGGGTAATCTTTAAACTTTTGTTCTAAAACGGACATGTATTTTTAATATATTGTGTGCATCAATATGTTCTTATGTTTCTCGAATTTGGTTGTTAAAGATCGATCTTTTATGACTTCAAAAATGGTGTTGACTGAGGCTGGAAACCATGGTTGAAGTTTTAGATCTGTTGATATTGTCTTGTAGAGGATGAACTTTGTTTCCGTGATATCAAAATATTTTATAGGAAACCGGAATTCTGAACTTTTTTGTTAGTTTTGGTCTTGAAAGAGGAAAAACAGAGCTTCTCTGAGATAAAACGGTACTGTTTTAAGCTTGATATGGTGGTGATCTTATTTCTCAGGATTGTATCCAGTTAAGATCCAACTTTTTAGCACTAAAAGTGATGTTAGTGAATACTTTCTGGTTGAATATGATTTATGTTGATAATTGGATTTTTATATGCTTTGTTTACGGCATAGGGAACTATTTCTGTATGTGATGAGTTCATTTTTGTCTAAGTCATAAGCTAGCATCTATATGATTATATTAATGATGGAGGAAGAAGAAAATTTTTGTTGCTTGATTATATTGGGTTTAAGATCTGAGTTAATTCTAGAGAACATGCAAAAAGTAATAAGTTCTACAAATCTCAGGCTTATGTTGCAGGTCCATCAATTTTGAACTCAATTATGTTTTCATGCTTTTGCAGCCACATAGAATGGCCTTATTCCCTTTGAATAGTGGCTCTTCATTAGTTTTAAGTGCAGAGATTTGTTTTTGGGAATCCGAGTATTATTTATGGGTGTGGGAAGATCATTTATCATGCATTATATATATTTGTATCCCTGTATATTCATTTTTATAAAGATTTTTTTGAATATGTTGTTTTCTCAATTTTTCTTTTTGCTAGTCCATGGCATTTCAATTTTGGGGATGAATTGCAGGATGTTGATTTTTTGTTTTTTAATCTCTTTCAGCATATACATCAGAAATGAGTCGTCCACAGGAACCCGGACGCCCTTTCTTTCCTTTTGTGAATCCTTTCAAAATTCTAACTCCTAAAGGTTCTATCCTGTCTCCTGGGCTTCTTGCTCTGTTGAACAACTTTGAGCTAACACTAACTGATAGGTTGAAGAAGTTGATTCCAGAGGACAATAATGATGTCCTTAGCTTGTCATGGATGAAACTAGCTATGGAGTTGCTTTGCCAGACACACATTGACATAAAATGCCTAATAACCGAGCTTGAGCTTCCTGTATCAAAGTGGGATGAGAAATGGATAGATGTGTACTTGGATATAAGTGTGAAATTGCTTGACCTTTGCATTGCTTTCAGCTCGGAGCTCACTCGACTCAGCCAGAGCCACCTTCTGCTTCAGTGCTTTTTGCGAAACTTGGAATCCAACTCTCCAGAACTTTATGTGCGGACTCGATCTTCACTTGAGAGTTGGAGACAGCATGCCAGCTTGAAGAACCCTAGAGTTGAAAACTGTCGGTCAATTCTGGATGATCTTGTCAAGTCACTGGATCTGCCTAAGGTTAAGAACTCAGCCAAAGGAAAGGTCTTGATGCGTGCTATGTATGCTGTCAAAGTTACAACTATATACGTCTGCAGTGTGTTTGCTGCAGCATTCTCTGGGTCTGCAAAGAATCTGTTAGATTTGGATGTTCCTAACACATTAGTATGGGCAGGAGCTTTCTCTGATGTGCAGACTACAATAAATGAGGAAATTAGAAATATATTTTCACAGGAAAGAGTTTCTGTCGTGAAAGAACTGGATGTGGTTGATGCAAATGTTAAGAAATTGTATCCCATGATCCAAGATGTTACGGTTACTATTGAAAAGGAGGCGATTAGTAATTCGGTTTCAGATTTGAGGAGGGCAGCAGAGAAACTTTCAGAAGGTCTCGATCATCTTGCGAAGGAGGTGGATGGCTTCTTCAAAATAATTTTAGGTGGGCGTGATGCATTGCTTTGCAATCTCAGATCAGATGATGCAGTTACAGAATCAAAGATGGGAAATGTTGAAGAGCAAAGCCCAAGACGATTGTAAGAGAGTGAAAGTGTCATGTATAGAGTCATTTGAGTGTCTGGTATTGGTAGGTAGAGGTAGAAATATACTATCTTGTTTGACTTACTGTATCGTGTTGGGTGTAACTCTTAAGCTGTATGAGAAAATAGTATCCGTCTGGAAATGTATTTGTAATCTGGAACTTCAATATATAAAATGGTTTACAATACTAGTTTCTAACTTGTGTTGATGATTCTAAATTTGCCATTCAAACTTAAACACGAGATCTTTCTGCGAGTCTATGATAACCCAATAAAATGGGGAAGAGCACCCTAACAAAGCAGATGATTAATCTCACTTATTCACCGCTGTCGGAAAATGTTGCAAAGCTTTTAAGGGGCTACATCTTTGCTGCTTAGCAGGCTCCTGCGGTAGTTGACATGGAAGGACAAACTCTTTTCTTTTTCTCCTCCTCCAGTCACATATGGGCACTTGGACATTGAAAAGTCTATGGTGCGTTCATACAGCTCGGAAATGCATTGACTGATTCAAAAAAAATTAAAAAATTCCCGATTTGAAATGTTGGCACAATTGTTCCACTTCTTATTTATCAAGTTAGGTCAATTGTTAGGCAGTTGCCTCGCAGGTTTATAATAGATAATAATGGCGCAATTGACGTAATCCTTAACCAGTAAAATTAAGCCATGAACCCTCCGCGTCATTTGACAGTCGCCGCCCGCCCACCCCCACCCCCACCCCCAAATTCGCGCTACCCCGTGAAGCTTCTTTCCTCCATTCAGAATATTACCGTTCAAATTTCCAAATTGAAGCAAGGAAATTCAGCATTAAAACATTAAAGTTTCAAAAGGTTTTTCTTTTGTAGCGTTGATTACCGAGTTTACAAGTAAGAAGGGAGAACTTTCCAGGTCTATGGTGGGAGATTCATCAACCTCTCTCAACCTCATCCTCTTGAGTAAGAACAGTAACACATGGATTCTCATTAATAAAAAGGAGGAGAAGAAAATAAGGAAGCCCGTGAAAAAAGGGTCCGTTTCTTTCTTCACGGGTCGCTCCTTACTTTCCAGTTCGAAAGGCTTCACACTTTGACACTCCCCCTGAAAAATAAAAAATAAAACGCCCAATAAGAAATGTAAACACACTTTAGATTTACACCTATCGACACCTCCTCCTCAAATCTAGCCTCTCTTCCTCCAATTTAGTGGCTTCTTTCTCTCTCTCTCTCTCTCTCGGGTTCGGGTTGTCTGATTCGGACCCCCAAGAAGAGATGTCAACCGAGTCGAGCTCTGGTTCTGGTGACCACAGCATCAAAGGTGTACCAACTCATGGGGGACGCTACGTTCAGTACAATGTGTACGGTAACCTCTTCGAAGTTTCTAGAAAGTATGTGCCTCCTATACGCCCCATTGGCAGAGGCGCTTATGGGATCGTTTGGTAAGTCTCATCCTTTCTTTTACTTTGTGGTTTAGTAATTATTCTTTTGTGCCTTACAAATTTTCTGTATTTTGTGGGGGCTTGGGGATCTCTGCTATTTCAAGCTTGTTCTGGTTCTGGTATACGCATTTTTAGTGGAATTGAAGTACTGCTGAAGGTCGTATTGACTTTCTTCTGGGTTTCTTGGTTTCTTATTGTCCTTGTGTCGGTTTCTTCACTATGTATGGTTACTTTTGATTTTACTCGTATTTCTTTTTTGAGAGTCTGAAGCCATTGATGCATGATTCTAAGTTGATAGCATCAGCTCGTGTCTGCGTTTTCGTGGAGACGGGGATGCAATAAACGGAAGAGGTGCTAAATTTGACTCTGTGACTTGCTTAGCTTCCCTCCCGGTCCCCCCTTTTTGTTGGAATTAGGACATCTGGTAGTCCCCTGTAATGTCATTTATGAGTCAATTCTTCTCCCTTATGTAATAGTTAATCCTCTTATTTGAGGAGAATGATGCTGTTCTGGTTTTATTTCAGCTGAGCAATTTTATACATAGTATTCACGATGAATAGCTGATGAACTGTTTCATTTTTTCTTAGGGTGAAAATCAGAGTAATCCTTATTTGCACAGAATCCTTGTTCTTGTGGTTCTTATGGCAGCTTTTGTTTTTAATGAAATTAACAAATTGAATAAAGATCCCTTCTGTCCCCTGGCACTTGTTGAATTAATGGCTTCATGAAGGTTCCTATATTATTAGAAGTCAAATTAGTTTTAGAGGCAACATATAGAAATTGGCTTTCATCCCATATAACAAAGCGTGGATGAGGCTGTTTCTCTTTGCCTCCTTCAGTGCATAGAACCTTCATTCTTGGGATCACCTGTTATCATCATAATTCGTCTTGCCATTCAGGTCATCTAATATCCAACTACTTTTTCAGTCTCCATAGCACCTTGTTTTGTATTGGCTACAAGTCACTTTCAGATGAACATATCACTGCTTGAGCTCAAAATACTGGGCATCATGAGTCAATTTGTTTATATACTTGATGATTATTATGTAACTGCACGAACTCCTTTTTGACACCCACTTTTCAATATCTCTTCCCAATTACTTGGGTCTTTGGGCTGGCTTGTTTCCCGTTCTGGCTCTGTACGTGTTTTGTGTTATTGAATGTTCTTGCTTAGATAGCAGTTGTTATTGTGTATGGACTCTGGATCTTTTGTATGAGATACCTATTTTGTGCAAAGGAAATTCTTATTTTGTCATGTTCTTCCAGTTGTGGATATTGGAAAAACTTACATTTTCTCTTAATTTGACTTAACCTTTGTGCCATCAACACTGTGAAGGAAGATATGATTTTTTCATTTCCTTCAGTGCTGCTGTCAACTCGGAGACACGAGAGGAGGTTGCCATCAAGAAAATTGGTAACGCATTTGACAACAGGATTGATGCCAAGAGGACTTTACGAGAAATTAAGCTTCTTAGGCACATGGATCATGAAAATGTAAGCTTATTGATCTATATGATTTTCATATGTTCGTACTTCAACTTGGTTCATAATATTCTCCTGGTTGTTTTTAATCTATTATGACCTTGTTTTTATTAGAGTTCTAGCTTTAGTTCTAAAATCTTCACACTATGATTTCTTATGTTTCTGTGTATATTTTCTTCTGTCCCATGTGAGAAACAAGCAAGACAAAGTATTCAATAATTTTTTTCTCAAAGGTGGGGGTGCTCGATAGTTCATTTTATAAGAAAGATGCCATCTAAGCTAAAGGGTTCCTGGCAATACTGGTGTGGTAGAAAGTGCTATTTGCGTTCTTTCTGTTATTCATTTAACTTATCCTCTTCTTACAAAAGAGAAGGGAAGCTTGTTTTGTCCTATGGGAGAATATTATGCATAAAATGAAAATATCGAACTTTCTTATCTTTTGTTTCTATTTACAATGTGGAACTAATTGGATCTCTTTTTCACACTGTGCTCTTCTATCTTTAACCTGCCTGAATTCTGCATTTGTGTTATGACTTGGTGGGAACTACAGTTGACATTTCATAGCCTGCAGTTATTTTAGTTTTTCCATAGCATGATAGGCACCATTTTTTTCAACTTATTTCAGTTTTTCTGATCCTCAGCATGAACAGAGGTAGTTTTTAATTCTTTCTGAAATTTTTTATCCTTAGAGACATTCTTTGTGATATTTCAAAATAAATGTTGGTTTCTTATGTTATTCTATACAGACTAAAGCTTTGTTTGAGACGGTTGAATTATCAAGGTTTTTTTTTTCTTCTTATTCTTGACTGATTGCATTCATTTCAAATGAATTTTTCTTCTTAAAATTAATCTCGTAGTCGTGAAATATTTTGTGGAGCTCAATTAAATTACCATGTCCAGAACAAATTTAAATTAAATTCATATTTTTTACTTGAATTCCTTATCACCTGTGTGGTTCATTTCCTACTAAATTCTTTTACTTAATTATTAGTGTTCTTGACATATAGAATTATGTCATAATTTTCACGTTTGAATCAATTCCATCCGTAGCTTGAATTTCATGGAAATGGTTTTTTGGATTAATAGCATAAAATTTTTTATTATCAAGTAGCATTATAAAAATAATTATTGAAGAGGATGCAATAACTCTGTTGTGCATCCATAGGAAAAAATGAGAAGAAATATGGTTAAGAAATTACAAAGATGCTTTTGACTGTAAGGATGCTATAAAACTTAACACATTTTGTCATCTCATAGTGTTATGTGATCCATCTTACAAACACAAGAGGGCTAGTTGATTCAATTAAAGGCGCAAGGAGAAATTTGATACAAAAATAAAAAATACATTGGAGTTTCTGATATTAAATTGTAGGTGGGAATTAGAAATTCATTGCCAAGAAATTTAAGATACCAGCGGAATCAATTCAAATTTTTAACTTATGATTTGATTCTGTATTTCAAGGATATACTAGTAATAAATAAAAGAATAAAATAGAAATTACACTTGAACTGAACCAAATAGGCAGTATCACTAACACCAGTCCTTATTATCAAACCATTTTACTTTATGAGTTTCTTAAGAAAAGAGGGAAAAATGAAAAAAAAGGTTTATTTTTAGTTTATAAATTATGATTTTCTTTTTCTGAAATGAGAAAAAGCCATTTGAATTTAAATTCTCAAAGGTGTAAAAGTCGTTTATTCTGAACAGTTACTCTGTGTGTATTTAAATATATTGTATTATCATTTTGTTTTTATATCTTAATTAGTAATTAGATATGTAAAACCTTGTCATAATTTATATAGTCGATGTATCATTGAACTGATTGCACTTGTATCTTCAGTTCTACCTTGATAGATGGTATCTCCACTTGTTAAGAGAAGAATCATAGAAACAATAAACTTGAATTAGACATGGAAATTAACTTGAATTATAATACTATTTTTGTTCAAAATTTTACCCAATTTTGTATTGTTCTCAATTCATATTTCTCAAATTTGAACCAAACTTGACCTAATATTCATTAGTTAATCTGTTTGTTAGATAAAGATACTCCTTTCGATGTCATCCAAATTACTGCCCATCTTTTAGAATGGGATGCTCATAAAGTACTATGTCCTTAGTAAAATTTATAATTGGAATGAAACATTTGAATCATAAATATGTCTCTTCTTCGGCAATTGGAAATGATTGCACGCAGCATAGAGCTTCCAGACTTGCATAAATATGTAGCTGCCTTATGTACCTTTAGGAGCTATGTAGATCAGTGTTGCTGCCTTATGTACCCTTATCTATTGGACAATGGATCTGCCTTTGATTTTTGAAAGCCTCTTTGTATCATCCAAATCAAGAAATATTTTGTTTGACCACAGAAAAGATAAATACCTTCATATATTAGATGATGGATTTACATTTGACTTTAGACATGTCTTTGTTTCACTCAAATCAGCAAGTGTTCAGGGACTGACACTTTCACAGTTTTGAACCCAGAAAAAGGGATCAGGAAGGGGATCTGCTTCTGTGATATATTGGGCAAGAATTCTTTTATAAAAGGAAATAGCAATACACATGCAAATGGATTTCAGATTCTTGTTTGTTTGAATGATGATTTTTCTCAGACTTTGCTGCATTGAACAAAATGCCAAACAGTAGTTGCATTTCAATTTTGGTGGAATCACGGAGTTTTGACCATAACATTTGAGTGCAGGTTATTGCTATCAAGGACATCATACGACCTCCACAGAGGGAGAACTTCAATGATGTTTACATTGTTTATGAACTAATGGACACTGATCTTCATCAAATTATTCGTTCCAACCAACCATTAACAGATGATCATTGTCGGGTAGGTAATAGTAGCCTGTAATAGCTAATATGAACTGGAGAACTGCATTCCAGTGCTTTGAATTTTAAAGTCTAAACTCTTTTTTTATTTGTTTTTATAGTCTGATACCCTTCTGGAAGTTTGACTGCTTATATAATGCTGTTGGTACAAGATAAGTCATGCTGTGAACTATTGGTAGCTAAAGACACCGCAGATACATTTGAGTTCTGGGATCTTGCACTTCCTTTCAGTGATTTGACTAAGATGTCCGAACTATTTGATATCTTGTTAGCATTTTCAGTGTCAACCTTAATGGTTGAGACTTTTGGTAGAAGTAGTTAGACATTAAGCTGCTACTTCACCTTGGTAGATAAAGCCAATATTTGATTGTCCACACGATGTTATTTATGCACTTAGTCTTTACTATTGCCTTCTTATGATCATTTTGGTACCAAGTTGGAGGTTGTCTGTTCATCAGACTGCATTTGTGAAAAACTGATAATAAGTAATGATACCTAAATGAAACTATATGGGAATAAACATGTGGATGGTTTGTTGCTACTATTTCTAGCAACAAAAGAAGGTGGGGTTTAGTAACCTTGTTTAAAACATCAAATGTAGCATATACAACTAAACTCCAAATTTGAACTGATTGAGATTGTACAAATTCTGTTTGCTCTATAGCATATACAACCAAACTCTCAATTTGAACTGATTGAGATTGAATACAAATTCTATTTGCTCTTGCTCTGACTCGTTGCAAAAATTACACTCAGACATGGGATATAGGTCATGTTAGAAGCCTGATAACTTGGAACTTCAATTATTTTTTGGCTTATGTATGCAAGTGTCTGCTATTGGACTTTCTCATTGCAAAGAGGAACTTGCTCTAGAAGGAAACCTCACTTGAACATGTGGTATGGTTTTTGGTTTCAAACCCTGGCAACTTGAACTTTTGCTGATTATCAGTGCTTCTGTTGCAGTATTTTCTGTATCAGTTGTTACGAGGGCTCAAATATGTACACTCAGCAAATGTTTTGCATCGTGATCTTAAACCAAGCAATTTGCTTCTGAATGCAAATTGTGACCTTAAGATTGGAGATTTTGGGCTTGCAAGGACTACATCTGAAACAGATTTTATGACAGAATATGTTGTTACTCGCTGGTACCGAGCTCCAGAATTGCTTCTTAATTGTTCAGAGTACACTGCAGCAATTGATATTTGGTCAGTGGGTTGTATACTTGGTGAAATTATGACCAGACAACCCCTGTTCCCGGGCAAAGATTATGTTCATCAGCTGAGACTTATTACAGAGGTATGGGTTTTACAATCTTTTCAATGCAATTGAAGTTCTTTTACAGCTGTATCCTTACTCATGAAAGTACTCAATGCACTGGATGTACATATATATATATATATATATATGTTATGTTCACATTCATGTGGGTGGCACATAAAAATTATTTGATGAGTCCCACTTGAAAGTGAAGGAGATATATACACCCAGTGCATTGAATAATACTCATGGTTGGCTTTTGTTGGAGCTCCTCATTTTGGGCCTCTGAGGTTAAGTTGGTTTTGAGTCTCAGAGGTGCCAATGCCTAAATGCTTCTTGTATAGTTGCAAACTTGGAGACTTGAAGGACTCTTTAATTAAGTTCATCTTGTTGTGACTTGTGATTTATGGAAAAATAATTCAATTTCGGAAAGTGAAAGAGCATTGGAGCTGTAATATTGAGGGGGAGCAATGATTGGGGAATCAAACCCAGAGACCATTCTCTTCCCTTCATCATGACTGGCTAAAGCGAGCAAAAGGTCTGCTGACTACTTGCATATGAGTGAGCCTGCTCTTTTTATTTGAAATTAAGATCAACATTTTCTAGAAAAAAGGGATTATAGTTTATTTGTTATACCCCCAAAAAGGTGATCGTTCTTTTGGTGTCTATCGGAACTTGGCAGCAGCTTTCTTTAAGTGTAAGAAGTACCATTTATCATGCTAGAATTTTTTCCAACTGGATAACTTGTCATATTTTCATTTTGTTTTGAATAGCTTATAGGATCACCTGATGACTCTAGCCTTGGGTTCCTACGGAGTGACAATGCGAGGAAATATGTGAGACAGCTTCCTCAGTACCCAAGGCAACAATTTTCTGCTAGATTTTCCAACATGTCTACTGGTGCGGTTGATTTGCTGGAGAAGATGCTTGTCTTTGATCCACACAGGCGTATTACAGGTATCTGTTATGTCCAATTTACTTCTAGTTTTAATAATAGTGAGAACTTCATGACTTGTTGGTGAGAGAATATTGTATTGGATATAGTTTCAGTTCAATTTGATCAGTGGAGAATTAGGTTGAGCATTGGAAAGCATATAATGACAACAAGCTTTAATCTAATGTTATGGTACCAAGAGAAAGATATCTAAATCAGAATTTTGAAATCTGTCGTATAGATTGCTGCGTACTACAGGTGCTTAACTTAGAAATTTCAAAATCTAAATTGATTTTTGAAATCAATTTGTGCTTGAACAGGTTGTGTGATCATTATATGTTAAAATTTTCCAGCCGTATCAATTATCTTCTTCCGAAATATATAGAAATTTTCATGGTGCTATGAAGTTGGAGAGAATTATCCTTTTTCTTGATAGAATTTTAAAGAGTTGGTTATGATACTTAATCCGGAAGCAATTTGACTGTAGGCTATCTTTTCTCTGACAATATTATTTTTTTAAAAAAAAACTGTAAGAATGTTGTTTTCTTTTCTTTTTTTCTGGATTAAATATAATTCTTTATCCCACTGGTTTGCAGTTGACGAGGCTCTCTGCCACCCATATTTGGCACCTCTTCATGATATCAATGAGGAGCCTGTTTGCCCCAGGCCTTTCAGTTTTGATTTTGAGCAACCAACTTTTACTGAAGAAAATATCAAGGAGCTTATCTATAGGGAATCTGTGAAATTCAATCCAGATCCAATTCATTGAGGTTTATGTGCTAATATGTTGTATCATGTATGCATTTCTAAACTGACTGGTTTGGAACAAATACTATATAGGACCCATCAAGTTCTCCAGGACTAGAAAGATAAAAGTGCATGGAGGTTTCAGGTTATCACTTAAAAATTCTCGTAGAGAATCTTTAGCTTTTTCCCTACCCTTGGCATCTCTTGATGTTTGTAATGTCTCAATGTGCAAAAAGAAACTGAAGCAGAAGTACTGCAAGGGTTTTATGTTCCATAGAGTGAGCTTGAAACCCAGTTGGTGCAATTCCTTCTATCTCCTGCACAGAGGTTAGTTTTGTTAAGCTACATTGCCACTGTTAATTTTCTCTACATATTGAAGAGCACATGTAGAATATGGACAATGGAGGAGTTAGGACTTAAGTGGAATTCAATTTGTGTGTCCTCTAGGATTTTGATAAATTTGGCTTTGACCAGAAAATTTGTCATTGCATCATCATCATGTTCTAATTTTACCATATAGACTTTCGGATTTGCATATATTGCTATTGTGAAGCAAGTTCTCTGCAAGATAAGAAGTACCTGGTGATAGATAATCTAGCATAGTAGACTCCGTGGTTATTTAAAAAAAATATATATATTAGACTCAGGGGAACCTATCTGAAACTGTTGCCAGATCTAAAAGTTCAGGAAAAAATTAGAGAGGATTGAGAAAGAGAGGTTCTCTTATTGTCAAGAATGTTCATGCACTTGGGTTCACGGAGAAATTAATATTAGCGGTGTTCATATTGCTTTTTATGAAATTATGAGAACAGAACAAGAATTTGCAGAATATGGAATACGTCATATCTTGGAAATTGCAGCGACTGGCTCTGTTTCACCATATTTGCACCCTACTTTCTTGTATGTATCTTCTAGTAGTAGATGGGAATTGTATTGTCAGATGGGATTATAGAAAATGCATTAATCATAGAGAGGTCTCATTTTTCATGGACAGATGAGATTTAGGACATTGAAATTTGAAACTAACTGTATCAAGTTTTATACCAGAGATTATGTGAAATAGAAAAGAAAATATACCGTGGATGTTACATGTCACAAGATTCAATCACGTTTTTTCCAATTGTAGAACATCAACTTCGAGCTATGACAAGTTCAATACACGAAAACCAAGCATATATAGGTGTCTCGACTACGAACCTTAAAACATATATATATATATATATGTATATATATATGTATGACTTTCACCATGTCGATAGATAAGTTCTCAGTATGTATTAGATACATATATGTATATAATTAAATTTATTTAAAATTACCTTATAAAAGTACCCGCTAAGGTTGTAGAACGGGTATGTATACAATGGGAGATCTTCAACCCTCCTGTTAACTGTTGTTCTGCCCAATATTTTTAAAAATATTTTTCATATTTATATATTTCTTTTTGCATAATTTTTAACGTACAAAAGTTACAATATGCTTTATCATTGATATTTTTTTTTCTTAATTTTATACTTCTATATTAAATCCATTTAAATTACTTCATAGGTAACTTATATAATATTTTAAAAATAATTAAAAATATTTAATTTGAATAAAATGTGATGGGAAACATTTTGGATGCTACTAGGTTAGGTCCAGATTCATGCATATTAAATTGAATATTGTTACATTAGATTAGATAAAATAATATTTTTAATGTATATGATTTAAGATAAATAATATAAATTTCATACAAATATTTATTTAAAATATAAGAAAATGTACAGTTGAAAAAATCAACTCCCTTTAATCGTTCTCCCCCTTATTACACTCAGCATTTGGTTTGAGTAGTGTATTTTTTACTTTTTTTTTTTAAAAAATTAGAAGTTTGAATATTTTAAAATACATTTTTTATATAATAAATAATTCATTGAAAATATTTTCTCATCTTACTCGTAAATTCAAAAAGAAAAATGGTGAATACATCTAATGTAACATCCTAAATTAATTTTTTTTTGTAATTTAGGATTTTATTATAAATATAATAAAATAATTTTTCAATTTTCTTTATTTATTTAGAGTAAAAATTGAAATAAAATTGATGGATGATTAAATTAAAAATAATTTTAAAGAAAATAGGTAAAAATTTGAGTTCTGTGGGTATTTTTTTAAAGAATTAGAAGTTTGAATATTTTAAAATATATTTTTTATATAATAAATAATTTATTGAAAATATTTTCTTATCTTACTCGTAAATTCAAAAAGAAAAATGGTGAATAAATCTAAATTGTAGCGTATCAATTGAAGGGAGGCAGTAGAAATCTTAGTTTTAAAATAGTTTGCCTTTTGGCATGTTGTTCTCTCCTCTTATGTTTGTCGATTGACACGTCCTTAGTTTAACCTAAATTTGCAACAATCATGATATCCATGGCCACCGAGTTACCTATGACAACCCTCACAATAACTGATGAGGAGGGGGGCTAGGATATTGCCGATGTTACTCCCGAACAACATGAATCCTTTGGCTTTTGCCTTGTGGGTAGGTTCCTAATGGAAGCAGTAATCAGATTTGAACCTATGAAAAATATTTTGGCGAATGTATGGAAACCTATCAGAGGGATGAATATCACAGACTTAGATAATGAGCAGTTTCTTTTCCGCTTCTTCTATGACGTGGATATTCAACATATTATTAATGGAAGTCCCTAAATGTTCAACAATCATTTATTATTGACACATAGACTGTAGGATGGTGCGGACCAAGTGATGCAAACATGGGTTCAAAAGGCATTAAAGAGAAGCATGAAGAAGAGTTTACAATGTCAGCTAGTCCAATCACAAGATTTCATGCTAAGATGCTAAAATATATATTTCAAGACTTTGTACAAAAATAGATACAACAAGAATTTAGCACATGTGGACTGTTTGAAGAATCAAAGAAGTCAAATAAAATTGTTAATTTTGTCCAAGTGTGTGGGAAGAATTTAAATTAAATATATAAGATCATTTTGGTCATTTCTTAGATAATTAAATTATATTCTTAGGTCGTTTAATACTATATTTCTCTATATCATTTAATATCATATTTTCCTATGTTATTTAATAACATATTTCTCTAAATTATTTAAATTATGTTCATATTTTCCTAGATAATTTAAATTATGTTTATATTTTCCTCGGTCATCTAATTATGATAATTTGGTAGAATTTAGTTGTTTTATTATATAAATATCTCATTTTTAATGTAATATGATACATTTTGATTATGAATAAATTTCATTGTCTTTGGTAGAACTTTGACAAGTGAGCATTCTTATTCTTTTTATTGGATCAATAATTGAATTAACTTATTAAGTTATCTTATGATATTTATTCATTCTTGCTTTTTTCATCCCAATCACCCAAGTTCTAAATTATAAATTAATTGTGGGTTTGATATAGAGGCTTTATTTAGAGTTCTAAGTTATCTATGCTAAATGTATATGTGGGGTTCTAAATGTAATTTTTGATTCTCAGGTTTTGCATCACCTAAGGAGTGTAAAAATCAATTTCTATTTGTTATAGGTGCAAATCCACTCCCAACGGGTTGGCAATCGGAAACGATGGCAAAATAGTTTAGCGAGTTTCTAGGAAGATACATTGATTGCTAACACATGCATGTTAACTACTAATAATGACAACTATATAAGAATCCAAGTAGCTATAAATATGAGGAAACCATTATTTCAAAGAAAGAAAATGAATTTAAGAAATGACACTTCAACCTATACTCTGTTTAAGTATGAGAGGTTGCCGACCTTTTGTTACCTGTGTGGCCGAATGGGGCATTTGGAGCAGTTTTGCAAGTTGCTCATCCACCTAGGTGTGGGAGATATGATACCAAAACGGGATAACTCACTGCGAGAGAACCCTCATCAGAATTACTAATGATAATGATGGTTGAAGGATGAGAGGGGATGTATGCTAATGGATTCTAATGTGTGGATCATGGGAAATACCAATGATAATGATGGAAATCTATGGTTAAATATTTCTTTTAAAAACTCGGAGAAGGTGGGATCTTTCAATTTTAGACTACAAAAAAAGCTGGGGGCGGAAATTGGATATATGGATCATTATAGGGTTGTGGCCAACTTATAAGTGAAACTATGGGCCTCTACCAATGAATAGTCCAGATCTCCAATGATTAAGAAATGTGTATGGGCCATTAAGTTGGTAAGAAATAGTCTTGACATAATATTGCCATTGAGGACCCAGTAGACGAGCGAGATGCATATGAAAAAACGATAGGAGCACAGATCAACCAAACTTTTGAGATATCAGCAAAGTCTGGCGAGCTTGGCGAGCAAGCTCGCCAGACACTATGAGGATTCTAATTTGGAACTGCCTAGGGCTTGTTAACCCTCGGATAGTGTTGACTCTTTGGGAGTTAGTTGAGAAAGTTATGATATATATTATTTACTTAATGAAAACCTTAGTACAAAAACACAAGTTATAAGTGGTTGGGAAGAAGATAAGCCATAGTAATATGTTTTGTATGGATAGGAGGTGGAGAGGCAGTGGGTTGGCTATGTTTTGGATGAGTACTCGCAACCTATCAATAGTGTCATATTTGACACATCATAAAGATATAAAACTGGTGTTACAAGAGGATGCAAATTGGTTATTTACAGGGTTTTACGGTGTTCCACAGCGCCACAGAAGAAGAAAGTCCTAACAGTTGCTACAAACCTTGGCAGCAGGCCAGAATAATGCTTGGGCAGTAGTGAGAGATTTCAATGATATTGAGTCTGAAGCTGAAAAAGAGGGTGCAACACCCTCAAAATCACTCAATTTGGGCTTTAGAAACACCTTAGATGGTTGCAATTTAACATATTTATCGTTGATAAGCTATGAGTTTACTTGTCGAGAGGGTTGCAACTAATGTGATTAGAGAGAAACTTGACTGGTGCATAATTAATGGTTAGTGGGATACCCTATTTCCTCATGCACATTTGGAAAATCATACAACCTCTGTATCAGAACACTCTTCAATCCTATTACTTTGCGACTTGAGAAATACTAAGCAAGGAACGAAGAAATTTAAATTCGAGAATGTTTGGTTACTAAACCCGAATGTGGGAAGAGTGGTACAAAATAGATGGGAAGAGACAGGGACTGGTGATCTCTTATAGAGAATCAACACGTGTGGAATACACTTACAACAATGGGGGCGCTCTCTGGTCCAAAATTTTATTGCCCAAAAAAGATTTTTGTATGGTTAAATACTAAGAAAAAGGAGGTTGAGAAAGAGAACAGAAACTAATAAATTGTCCAGACTGAACGAAGACTTCATCTAACTCTTAGAACAGGAAGACGTGTACTAGAGATAGATAGCTAAACAATTCTGGTTGAGATTTGGGGACCGAAATTATATTTTCACTGAAAAGCATCTCAACATAAGAGACACAATCATATTATGGTTCTAAGAGACACAGAAGGGGAGTGGATTAGGGATGAAGATGCCCT